ACCTCACGGGCCAAGGCTGGCTCTGGAGAAAGGAGGGCCAGGAGCCAAGCACCACACGTGCCTCAAGAAGCTGGTGAAGGTGAGGAAATGGGCTCCCCCTCGAGCTCCCAGGAAGGGACCCTGCCGACACCAGAGCCCTGTCAGACTTCTCGCCTGCAGGGCTGAAAGGGGAATCCATGCCCCGTAAGTCCCTCATCCACGGTCACTGACAGCACCAGGAGGAAACGAATACGTGAAGGACTCATAGGCAACCCAGGCCGCGTCGGGTCTCAGCACGACTGACGGAGATGTGTGGGGAAGGAAGGGCAGGTCCCTCCCCGGTGACCGGGACAGACGGGATGTGACTGTGCGGAGGCAGATACAGGCACCCCTGCTCACAAGGCAGGGTGCGGCCAGCAGCCTGGAGCTGACCACCGGCGGGGGAGAGCTCGAGGGTGATGGGCACGTCCATGCCAAATTGGAGAGCCAGGCAGCAGAGCCCTGCTCTCAGAGAAATTGGGGCCCGTGGGACAGTGAAGAGTACACGGCCACGGAGGAGGCACAGGTTCCAATCACACCTGCAGCGAGTGACTCCTACACAGGCAGTCACCCTGGACATCAGACACTCTAATGCCGAACACTGCGCGGTGCTGGCCCTGCAGCACAGTGGTCGGCTACACTGCAGAGCAAGCCAGAGCCCACGTGGCCAGCTAGGCTGGAGTCCCGGCCCCTGTGGCTTGGAAAACACGCTAGGCATGCACACACGTGCCCAGGATCTGGAAGAGGGAGAGGGCTGGAGGAAAAAGGGCTGTGGTGGGACCAGGCGCCTCTGCTGGGTGATCGCTCTCTCCCACCCACTCCCTCTCACACACCCACATGCCCACCAGCACTAAAAAAACCGTAGGAAGTTCTCTTTGGAGCTAACCACCTCGGAGCGAGTGACTGCGAGGTTCCCCCGCGCCGTGCCAACCGTGGTCGCCTGGGAGTAGCCTCTACAGATAGGCCCCACTCGTCTGTGACTTCTAGTTCTAAAAAAATGTCCTCTATCCTTAGGAGACACCTCTGCTAAATATACTCAAAAGAATGTGCCGCTAAAAGCAGATGGAGAAGAGTTCCAGAACCGCCGGAACGGTGTGGGCGATGTCACAGGAAGGGGACAGCGTTTCCTCAGGTGACTCTGGAGACAGCACTTGCTGAAATAGACTTCAGCGGTTCTCCGGCTCTGAGATAGCTCCGGCTCATGACGTCTAACAGCTGTGGCTCGCAGAGCAGACGGGTGAAGGATGACAGCAACAGCAGACCCCGCCAAGGGCGGCTCGCAGATGGCCTGCTACATGCGTGACACCTTGGCAGGACACAGGCTGGGTGCCGCCGGGCTGTCTGCTAGCTTAGTGACAAGCTCTCACCTCCCGTAGGCCTCAGGGTCCTCAGGGAAAGGAGCAACACGCCGTCAGGCCGGCAGAGGGGCAGGCGCGGGGCAGAGGGCGCAGGGCAGCGGGTCGCTGCAGAGGTGGCCCCGGGCAGACAGGAGGGCCCGCACAGGCAGCCTGGGCCCAGGTGATGCGCAGGAGCCTGGACCTCACCTGGCCTCCGGCAGTGTTTGCTCACCTGAGGCCAGGGCAGGGGAGGGCAGGGCAGTTGGGGCGTGTGAGTAAGAGGCATGGCAGCTCCGCACGTGATTCTGGACAAGTGAGTCCGGAGAAGGCTGAGACCCGCACCGTCCACCCTGCACGCCCACCCTGCAAGCCCACCTGCACGCCCACCCTGCACACCGGCAAGTCAGCATCTCTGCCCGTAGTTCTGAAGCAAGAGAGTGCTGTTGACCTGAGCCTTTCCTCACTCCCGCCAAATTCTAAAGCCCAGGGTCCTTCTTCATCTTGCCTGTGCCCGAAAACTCACTTCAATGAACTTCAACACAGACGCTGAACACGCTGCAGATTTACGAAGAGAAGCAACACGACTGGGATTGTATTTCTGGACACCATCCCACGGGGCAGGTCCGGGAATGAGGTCTCTGGCACACGCTCGGCAATGTGGGTCAGGAAGGCAGGTCGGCCAGAGGTGCTGCTGGTGAAGGCGGGCCTCCCACACCCACGCGCTGACGCCAGCTCCCGCTGAGTGCCCTTGGCCGGCACTGGGCTAGCTCCGAGTCCCACCGGCCCCTCCTATGACCAGCAGCTGTGACACAGCCAGCATTTGCACAAGAGGCAGGGTATCCGACTTTTATTTCTGACAAAAATAGCCTTTTTGGGTTGACCCCAGAGGCTAGTGGTTAAGGAAACCGGATCCCAGTGGCCAACCACAGTTTGAACCCCAACCTCAGCAGCTTGAGAAATAGCCTGGGTGTGAGTTCGTGTGCCCCAACCTCTACGGGATGGATAGTGGAGAAGGGATCATGGCATGACCACACCCACTGGGGGTGCACTCTCCCTCCCTTCCTATCTCTCTGTCTCTGGCAAGCCATGTTCCCTCTGGCAATTAAAAACAAAAACAAATGGGACCATCAGATGGCATAATGGTTATGTCACTGGACTCCCATGTGACCAACTGCGGTTCAAGTCCTGGACCCCGTGGCTTATACTCACACCAGATGCATGTGCATGCATGCCCAACATTCTGAGAGAAAAGTGGAGGAGAAGGGATTACGGCGTGGCCACCCCCCAGGGGATGGTTTCTCGTTTTCTGTCTGTCTCTCCAGGGAGTGTATACACCCTAAAGCAAAAATCTCTCAGAACTAAACAAAACTCCAAATCAGCCTTTTAACATATAACTCTAAAATAATTTTTAAACCTGACCAGAAAATAAAATACCTTTTTCACATACTCTATAGAAGATCCTTGAAATTATACACTCAAATCACTGGACTCCCATGTGACCAACTGCGGTTCAAGTCCTGGACCCCGTGGCTTATACTCACACCAGATGCATGTGCATGCATGCCCAACATTCTGAGAGAAAAGTGGAGGAGAAGGGATTACGGCGTGGCCACCCCCCAGGGGATGGTTTCTCGTTTTCTGTCTGTCTCTCCAGGGAGTGTATACACCCTAAAGCAAAAATCTCTCAGAACTAAACAAAACTCCAAATCAGCCTTTTAACATATAACTCTAAAATAATTTTTAAACCTGACCAGAAAATAAAATACCTTTTTCACATACTCTATAGAAGATCCTTGAAATTATACACTCAAAAAGGCCAAGAGAAGACGATAAATCTCCCAGATACTGTGAAATCTGGTGTGGGCAGGAAAACTGAGCACCCCATCTCCTCGTCATGCCCCAGTGTCGAGGACAGTCACGTGACACGCCAGATGCCCGGGCTCCTGACAGAGCAGGCCACTGCACACGACCCCAGAGCCGGCGGCCGGCGAGGTCAGAGTGCTGGCCCTGCTCCTGCCCTGGGTCACCCTCAGCTCTGACTGGGGCTCCCCGTGTACCATGAGAATGATGCACCGTCGCGATCTGCACAGAGAGCACGGGTGAGTGTTCCCAGACCAGAGCTCTGTACCCTCCTCCCTGACCCCGGCTAGGGCGGAGCAGAGGCAGAGGGCCACTTCCTAAAGGTCAGAAGCGGCGAATCTGTCTCCCGGTGGAAGATGGATTGGGATTAGGGTGGATCTTGAGATCGTTTCCCAGGAACGCTGGCATCTGGCAATATTAAGTCTTCCAAGCCAGGTGCAGCAGGTATTTCTGTCAGGCGGCCTTTCACTTCAGGAGCAGCGTCCTGTAGCTCTCCATGAGAGTTCGCGCAAGCCTTTGGCTAACTCGGTTCCTCACATGCTGCAGTGCTCGGCCATCCCAGCGTCCTGCAGCTGAGGGTCCCTTCTAGTCTTCACGATGGCAGCTGCATGGCCCCCACTGGGGGCGAGAAAGCAGCTACTGGAGCTCGTGCTCACAGTACTCTAACGGGGAGGGGCTGTACTTCCAGACTGTCCACCTCCCTCCTGACATCACCACCAAAGGCACTCCCTGTCCTCCGGCCACTTTCCCCAAGGGGAGATGTCAGGAGAGCGAAGGGGACATGGTGCAGACATGGAGCGCCGTCCCCTCCCAGCCCCGCCCTCTTTCTGCACCTTGGCAGTGGACGTCTCAGAGTGGCCCTTTCCCTGCAACCAGTATCAGCCTGTTCCAGTCTCTGCGGGATTCCTTACAACGCCGAATCCCCTAAAGCTATCTCAGTGAAAACTACGCAGTCACTTAATGACTTTTTTTTTTTTTAGGGGAGTTTTCTGCTATAGGGCGCATGCACTTACCAGAGACACAGAGAGAGCCAGAGAGAGAGGAAGCGAGAAATCACCCGCTGGGGGGGATGCCACACCACAATTCCTTCTCCTTCACTCTCCTCTCAGGATCTTTGGGCATGCACACACACGCCCCCAGTGTGAGTTTAAGCCACTGGGTCTGGGACTCGAACCGCGGTCGACTACATGGGAGTCCAGCGACATAGCCATTACGCCAACTGCTGGTCCCACGACTTTTTAAAATACGTTCTGTGCCTTATAGAATCGTCCCAGGGCAAACCTGCCACAAACGTGCAGCCTGTCATCTTTAAGTCAAAAGTTGCAGTGGGCTTTCTTACATCTTTGTAAATCTAGATCAAACAGCACTTTGATCAGTTTATTACGCTTGTATACCTATTCATTTTCTTTCCAAGCAAGGCGAGGTGAGGCCTAGGCAGGAGAGCTGGAGCCAACACCCCAACGTGACCAACACAAGAACCAGACACAGAAGCAGGAATAAGTCATGCTGACAGAGGGGGTTCATGCATGCATGCAGAGCTGTACCCCAGGAAACAGGAGGCACGAGGCAGGAGTGATGCAGGAGGACGGGGCCGGGGGCGGGTGAAACCCCGCAGCCAAACAAACCAAGTGCCGAGACAAAACACCTTCCGCCAGCGCAAGGCGCCCTCTTCGATCTGCATGCCCAGAAAAAGGGGTTTACTCGGTAGTTGACGACAGCGATCAGTAACATAAGATGGCATCAGGACGGCCGCCCAGACCCCGTCCAGGAAGGGTGTATACTCACCCAGCCCGGAGATGTTTATTGCTTTCACGGACTTCTTCATCTTGTAAAGAACCATCCGGTCCACGTCCAGAGCCTAAAACATAAAGAACGTCTTAATTAAAGCCTGTTGGTGCTGAGGCCACGGCTACTAGCCAGCAGCCATGGGGGAGCCACTCCCAAGGCCCCCACTTGGCTCATCCAGCCCCTCAGGTGCTGTATTCCGGAGCAAATCCTTGGCGTACTGCAGAGATTGGCTCCTGGACTGCCCTGAGCGGAAGTGCTGTCGGCAATTACTGACAACCCACTCCTCCTCACGCCTCGCCCACGGGAGCCTCTGGGTTGCCTCCTGCCCACGGCACCTGCTGGACATCAGCCTCCTGCCATGAAATGAGCTCACCCAGACAGCCCTCCTCTGCAATCCGTCCTCCTGCACACCGGCGGGCCCTGGGACAGCCCACTGTGACCGTGGAAGAAAAGGATGGTGAGAGGGAGCACATGGCAATGTGGGGGGACACAGAGCACCGTGTCCCCAAAGAAAGCTGGACATGCGGGCTTCAAGACAGCTGACCCGCAGGACCAAACCCGACGGTCAGAGGAAGCCTGGTCTAGTGGGAGGCGAACCCAGTGCCATGAGGAAAGACCCAAATGTGAATTCATCGGCTGTGTTGGAGGTAGGTTCCTAGTCCTTTGTAAGGCTCGGATTTCTCTTCCAGAACCAACAGTAACAATGCTTACTTAGCAAAGTTGAATGATTAAACACACACACTTATGTACTGTACAGTCAGTAAATACTTAGGGACCAACTACTACCCAGAAGCAGGCCACAGCACTCAAAATGCCTAGCACACAGTAGGTGCTCAAACTATTTGTTCAATGACTAATCAAACCTGGAGTATTTATTACAACCCTAGTTTCGCAAAAAATACAGAAGTAAATGTCCTTTTAACTCAAACAACACAGAAGAGCAAAGGGTGTCAATTTTCAGTGTGACGACGGGAGAGAGTGTTCATAAACTGGGTTCATGATACCACTCACAGCGTTACTGTAAAAACTACATGAGGAATTACAGGGGAAGCATACAGTGAACGCTGACTAACAGAGCTACCATTACCCTTTGCGAGTCTTGTTTGTTTCTTTAATTGCCGAAGAATGCACGTGAGAAACTACCCTCATGCCAAATGGGAAATAGTAAGGCCACAATCCCTTCTCCACCGTCTCTTCCTCCTTTTGAGATTTTGGACAGGCATGTTCACATGCCCAAGGTGTTTCTTAGTCCAGCAGGTTGGGGCTCAAACCTTGCAGTCAGCCACGTGGGATCCAGCTTGCGTACTCACCAGGTCACTGGCTGGTCCTCCCGTTCTGAGTTTTGATCATAAAAAGCTGCTATGATGGGGCTGGCCCATAACCTAGCAGTTCAGGGAGAGGACCCCTGTGTCTGATTGCAATTCATATCCCAGCCTCAGTAGCTTGAAAAACACCCGGGGCACTTGTACATGTGCACGTGTGTCCAAAATCCTGACAGGGCAGACTGTGGTGTGATGCACCCCATCGAGGATGCCTTCTCTCTCTCTCTCTCTCTCTCTCTCTCTCTCTCTCTCTGTCTTCTCTGGAGACCACACATGTCTCTGGGGAAAAAAAAAGTGAGGTTGCCACGCGTAGCATCTAAAACAGAACACGATACCTCAGAGAAATGGATTCGAGCCCCGAGTCTTCCTGAATGGCCTCCTGAATCAGTTTGCAAGAGCAGTGCGCAAGCCCTACCCGTGAAGCGCAAGGACGGCTCTGCTGGAATGTAAAGCAGATGTGAGCAGTGCTGAAATTTTCGAGGGAAAACATCACAAGGTACGAGGCGCTGGCCAGAAGGGCTAGAATACAGAGAAGCCGTGGCACCGTCAGGACGAAGTTCTCCAAACCCGGACCACCGAGAGAGCCCGAGGGCAGAGTGGACCCTGGGCGACACTGACATGTCAACCTAGGTTTGTCAACTGTCAGAAACGCACGGCCTCCGGCAGGGGATGCTGCTGGCGGGGAAGGCTGGTGTGCTGCGGACACGGAGTACATGGGAACTTGGTATGTCCTGTTTCATTTTGCTGTGAACCTAAAATGTCTATTTTTTTTTCTTTTTAAGCACATTTTCTGTCCTATTGAGGGAAAGGTAGATGGGACTAAAAGAAGATAGTCAAAACTTTTACAGAGAGTCAATGCCCATTCTCTGCAGTGGTCGTCTCTCATCTAATCCCGACCTTTTCAGCCAACAGAAAGGATTCGGAAATAGCAAATAACCCTCATCGTTTTCCTTCCCAACATGCCAACCACCAAGAGCGAGCCGTGACCCCAGGGCCACACCTGGACACCGGCTCCTGAAGCGTGACGGACCGCATGTCAGAGGACAGTGCCACACAAACAGCCCACTGTGCTCATCACTGTGCTTTGTAAACGCCCAACCACGACTGGTCACTCAACGGCCAGCCTAGCACGCTGAAGGAATTTGCTCCTGCAAACGGCCACGACAGCATCTGTCCCACACTGACATTTAAAAAGCCACTCCCCTGTCTAAACTTCAGTTTTTTAGTTTCCAAAGAGCATATGCACAAGATGGGGGGGGGCAAGAAAGCAGCCCCCAACCAGGAGTGGTCGTGGTACAATCTCTTGTCCTCCATTTCTCCAACCTGTCAGGATTTGGGCATGCACACACACGTGCCCAGAGTGCTTTCCAAGTCACTGGGCCGAGACCCAAACCACTATCGGCTGTGTGGGCCCCAGCCAACGCTGTACTTAGCATTCTCCTGTGCCATGAGCTGGGAAGGGAGAGACTCTCACTCACATCCAGAGAAATGCACAAATCCGACTCAAGCTCTCCGGCCTCGCAGGCCCATAGGTGACATGGCGACCTTGTGTCCACAGAAAAGACTGCAGCATGATGCACAGCACGGGGGTGCTTTCTCTCTGTCTACTCTGGAAAGCACACCCGCTTCCGCCATGCTAGAAACGTGGGCACTGGCGTGGTGCACCGCTTCAGCACGCACGCTCTACTGTACGACACGGCGGAGAACCAGGCCATTTCCTCCCGGCATCCTGGGACACGCCCTCCTGCCCATCGCCCGCACAAGCCCTGCAACAGTACCCGCCACATGAAATCTGCTCCCTTTGTTACTGAAGGGAAGCAGTTTCCTGAACTCAGGGACACACGGATAGACATAACTGGCTTTTCCACGTCTGTCAAGCAGAGATTGGCGATGAGGGTGAGGTGGGCCATAGAGGTAGTAAGTTCTAATTACAATTGCAAGAGGGAAAAGCAATTCCCTTCCAACTGGAAAACACACCCTTCATTGTGGTGCGTATTTATAGATAATTAAGATAGAACGTGGTCAGCAGAAGTCAGGGGGAGTGATAAAGACTGCTAGACAAAGTCCTATGTTAACTATATATAAAAACAGCTCTGGAGTCTTAAAGCAACAAGAAAAATGAATGCGAGCATCTACAGAAGCCAAAGGTGTCTCACCAATCAGGCTGAGCTAACCAGATTCAGCACTCACTCACCACCAGCCCCACCCCAAGTTGACTCAAATTTAGGAGGGAAAAAAAGCTGCAACTTTCACTAAAATTTGTCCATAAAAACTATAAGCAGAGGCAAAACCCTGAGAAGACAGAGACCTGAGTGGAACTGCAGAGCAACTTAAGTGTGGCCACATCTCATAAATTCTCAGGAGCCAGACTGAAGCCAACCTGCAGTGTGCAAAGTTTTACAGAATTAAATTGATCACATAAACAAGACTGTCACCGACCAGAGGTGGTACGGTGGTTAAGGCACTAGATCCCATGTGGCCAACTCCCTGGTTCAAGTCCTGGACCTGGCAGCTTAAAAATCACACTGGGCACATGTGTAATCCCAAAATCACGGAGAACGGAGGAGAAGGGACTGCAGCATGGCCATCCCATCCCCTCTGGGAGGCGATTTCTCACTTTTCCTCTCTCTCCCTCTCTTTCTTTCTCTGTGTCTCTGTCTTTCTCTGGTGAGCCCAAACACTCCATGGCAAAAACAAAACAAAACAAAAAACTAAGCAAACAAAAAACAAATGTGAGACCATCAGATGTGTCTCAAACACTTCCTGCAAAAAACAAATGCGAGACCATCAGATGTGTCTCAAACACTTCCTGAAGAAAAATAACCGTTTCTTCCTCTTTAAAAACACTTCTGTAGGGCTCCCAAACTGTCCTATTACCAGCCACCACATGAAAGTGTTCATTCTTAATATTTATAGCTTTATGTTTCTTTCTTTCCTTCTATGAGCAAGTTAGAGAAACAGAGAGGCAGCACCCGAACAGGGTCTTAGGATGCCGTGATCCACCCACGGCCTTCGGCCAGCCCTGGGGAGGTCTCTGGACTCGAACCGAGAACCTTTCAACATGGGGAATGCCTTGCCGAGTGTCACTGAGTGTCACTGTGCCGCTGGCCCCCTAAGTGGTTGTCTCTTCACCTTTCCCACCCAGGCTGACCAACATGGGAGCCACGAGCCACACAGCAACATTTCCAGCGAGATGAATTAAAACGAAACAGGAAAGTTGTGATGTATTTTCTATGCAAAAATGTATCATGACTTTTCAGACGACCCAATACCATTCACGTCCTCGTGTCTGCTGCCTTCCTCAAGGGCCACAGCCCGGCCATCACACTGATGGATTCTGAACCCGCTACCCCAAAGGACCCTGCTCTGTGCACTGCCTTGGGGATCGTCCAGAAGGCCCTCAACCTCTCTCCCCCTCGGGCTCCATGTGAATGTCACTCTGCGGAACCCCTTCCTCCTTTCAGAGGGCTGAGCCGGTTGCTGTCTCTTGGTCCCAAGGAATCCTACAGATGTCCTGGCATGGAGGCACCCCTGTCATGAGAGGCTGGGCAGCGTGGTGAAGCCCACAGTCTGTCGGAGCTGGTCTGGCTCAGGGGTGGCAAACTGGCCCACAGCCAAATTCGGCGTCTCTGCAGCCACAAGCTAAGGAGTTTTGCAGGCGAACATTTCCAGATAACATGCAGGTGGGAACAACTCTGAACCCCAATTAAGATCAATGTGAACCCCAAATGAATTCCATTCTTCTCTT